TCCACCACCACCCTCCCTACACCGGGGGCCAGATGAATCTCTGTCCTGTGCACCACAGGGTGGAGAGCATCCCTGGCCCTTACCCACTAAATGGGGACCTCCGACCACCCCCTAGTCATGACCATCTACACTGTCTCCAGACACCACTACATGTCCCCTTGGGGGTGCAGCTGGCACAGCTGAGAACCACTGATTGGGAGATGAATTTCAGTTTGTAAGCCACAGAAACGGAGAGTGGGAAAGGGGGAGGGTGCCAGGAGGAAGGAGCTGTATCTGTGTGCTTTGTAAGAATCTCCAACCCAGCCACCAGCATCCGTACACATAGAAACACCCCCCAAGGTATCTGTTGGATGAGTTTTGTAGACAGAAGGTGTCTTTGTAGACAGGACATGCTGTGTGTCCTTTCAACCAAGCTAGAGTCTCACACATATTAATTCCCTCTCTCCGTGGGAAGCACAGTTCTGCTTTTGTGGGCCCGACTCCCAGGCTGAGCTGGACCACACACACAGCCACAGATGCCCAGGGACACTTGTTCTTCAGGGACGTGAGGGGGCACTGCTTGCAGAAGGGTGCAGCTGTTTATAACAGATGTTGGAGGACATCAGGGTGGCAGCTCTCTTCTTAAGAGCCCCCAGAGCAAAGAGAGTTTTTCCAAATTGACTGGAGCCCACCTGGCTTTTTTGTCTGTTTGCTTGTGTGCCAAATAGCTCAGTCCTTACAGGTCTCTTTCTTGCTCACATGTCTTACTGGGAATGAGGGATGTCCCATGATCTGGATGCCACTGAGAAGATCATGTGCAACACGATATGGAGGGCAAAGGCATTCTTAAAGCAGAGCCGGCTCCAGACTCCTGCAGAATGAGGCTCTCCCTGTGAGCAAGTGACTGTTCCAACGCCCTACACGGCTCCTGTATCATGCCCCCTGCTATGGGGTGATGAGAAGGCCACTTCACTTCTGTGGTGGTCGCCCCAAGCCCACACACCCCCATCTAATGGTCACAAAAGTGCCACTCAAATCCAGATGGAGGGATGTTCTGCAAAATACCTGGCCAGTCCCCCTTACATGTGCAGGTCAGAAAAAACCAGGAAAGACAGTAAACCTGCCATTCATTGGAGGTGGCCAGGGAGACATGGTGACTGTCGTCGTGTGGGATCCTAAATGGATCCTGGAACAGGAAAGAACAGTTGTGGAAAAACAGAGAAAACCTGAGTAAAGTCCGGAGAGTAGCTACTGGCACTGAAGCAATGTTAATCTTCTCATTGTGATTAATGCCCTGTGGTTACACAACATGTTGGCACCAGGGATCTCCCTGAGGGGCACACGGGAACCCTCTCTACTGCTGTTTTTACAACTCTTCTCAATATACAGAATTATTTTTAAAAACTAAAGTTTATTTAAAGAAAACTGCTTCCTTAAAAAAGTCTAGAAATGTATAAATGTTACATTCAAAAAGCATTAACTAGGCAACTGTTATATGCATCCGGTGCTGAATGTGATTTGCCAGAACAAGGCCAAGAAGATGCCATCCTGGTCGGCAACCTCACAAAGCAGGTGCAAGTGAAGGCAAGCCAGTGTTTACCAGGTGCAGTGGAAGCCTGCCATTGCATGCATGGAACTCCATCCTGTGCTCGCGGCAATCTGACCTGAGAGGTGGCGTTACAGGGGAAGAGACATCAGCTCCCGGGGCTTGCACCTCTTGTCCAACGCCACACAGCTGCAGGTAGCAGACGTGAATTCAGTTCCATCTCTATCCAAGTTAAAAGCCCATGTTTCCCATCTTGGAATCCTTCCACCCAACGCAGGTTTGCTGTAAGGACATGAAACACAGAAGAAGGAACTGAGGACCATCTTGAGAACTTCCAGCAGGCTCCCAGTTTAGAAGCAGCTAAAATAGACAGGCATGAAATGGGGAGTATGGGGAGCAGCTGGGGGGTGGAGAAGCACGGGCTGTGGAGCACCAGGCGCAGCACCAAGGAGAACAGGAGTGACACAGGCTGTGTGGATCTAGGGTTCAATACACACGATCTGTGTAAAGGTGAGAAAATTGTCTCTAATGCCATGTTCCTTTCACATAAATGGCTCAGAAAGCCAATTTCATACCATTTGGGGATTCCATGGAAATAATATATATGAATGTTTTAGTCTTGTGACTGGCAGATGGGATGCATTCAAGGTAAGTTCCTTTCCCCTCTGAGGAATCCCTGATGCACCAGGAGTAGTTGCATGCCTGGACCATTTTGTGTAGAAGTTGTACTGTGTGTGGAAAGAGCACGGAGCAGCTGATGGAGAGGCATGCCAGTGCGGTTCCTTCCACGAAGTCATCCCACTGGGTCCCTGTGGGTGGATTTCAACTCCGGAGTGACATGTGTGACGCAGATGTGCCCTCATGGAGCACAGTGTCAGCCGCCATTCCAACACAAGGTTCCAGGACAAAATCATGGCCGGTCTTCAGTTTTAAAAGGTAGCAACTGTTTTGAAATAGGTTTTCAGTGCCAGATCCCTTTCTCCATCTGCCTGGATTTCTCAGGATGTAAGAAATGTAACAGCGACCAAGTGACATTTCCAAACGAGAAAGGAAAACAATTCAAGGACTTCATAAATTATATAAAAGGTGTGTTGAATTCAAGAAAAAAAACGTTCCATTTTCATGGTGAAGACTGATCCTTTCTAAACCTATTGGTAAGGTGAGAACCTGTGTGAGAGCCCTTTCATTGGACATGTCCAGTGATCACGCAGTTAAATATCCTAAAAGGTGTCCTTCGTTCACACTGCATCATGCCTGGGTTTGAGGGTCTGGAAGCAATGAAGAGTCAGCCAGGGTCCAACACGGAGCCAACGTGTTCTGCTTGGGCAGTGAAATCAGATCCTGCTATATGCATTTCTCTCTAAAGATGAATAAACCATATTGAAAACACAATATACTAAAACATGTGTGTGTTTCCTTCTTGGCTTCAGTGAGCTTATTGTATTAATAACAAACAGGAGAATCTGGAAAAGGAAGAAATTGTAAGAGGGAAGACATTAAAAAGTTCGAATCCATGTGATGTTATGCCTGAAGAAAGAAGAGAATCCATAATAGTCATCATAATAATAGCAATGGCTTGGGTGTTACACCTGGGTATGTGTCCGAATTCTACCACATTCTTGTGGGTTAGGATCATATTAGTGTAAACTATGAATGCTTATTGGCGTTAATTATAAATTTTATTTCCATAGAATATTGTTTAAACACACAGGAAAGTATGAAGAACGCTAGGATGAACACTGTGGTATCTTTTTAATATTTGGCCTCATCTGCTTGAGACATTTAAACAAATATTACCGGTGTGATCATCCCCCACATATATTATTTCCTGTCCCCTTTTCTTCCTTCTGATCCCAGACATAATTACTAAACCCTTACTTGGTTTGTATTATTCCCATATGAACTTTTATACTTTTATTATGCACTTGCGCATCTGTGAACAATATACAGCATGGTTCAGCGTGCTTCGATAATGCGAATGGCTTTGTATCATCCATATTCTTTTGACCTTGCTTTTTTGCCACACAAAATTATGTGTTTGAGTCTCAGTCATATTGTTAGGGAGGGTATAGTGTGTTAATTTTAAGTGCAGGATCAATTTTGTTATAGATAATAATGTACATTCCTGCATGCTCCTATCAATGACCATCTAAGCAGTTTCCAGGTGTCCACTATTACGCAAACAGTGCTATTATGCAGAGATTTTGGATTACAAGCTGCGTGTCAAGATTTTCAGGAGTTCCCTGAGAGGACGTTAGCGGGCAGCCCAGGTTGCTGGATGACGTCCCTCCTGGAGTGACTTTATTTATGATGCCATATTCCAGAGCATATGGATCATATTCCAGAGCTGTGATCCTACTGATCACCCAGGGGTGAGAACTTCCTCTCTGGAACACGCACACGTGGGCACCTGCAGTTCCCAGGTGGTCCAGGGGTAGGACTAAGGGCATCTTACCTCTGTCCACATTGCCAATTGCCCACCAATTCAATTGTCTCAATTATGTGCATTCCAATCAGCATATTCTAATACCACTCTTTTGAGATGGAATGTGTACCTTTGCGATATTTTGTAAATTCTTGACTCACCACGAGATCTTCTTTTCTCGTCCATTTTGGAGGCTGTTCTTCAGTAAATCAGCATTGCATGTAATTTGACCATTTTCAAGGGTCTTGAGGGTCTTTTAATGTACTGATTTATTGGGTTTCAAAGAAATATATCCAGAAATAAACCATGGCAATAAGTTAAAGAGGCACGTGCTATCTTCTCTTCTATGTCTTTTTTTTTTTTTTTACCGCATGAATGGTGACTTTCCTCTTGCCAACTAAAAGGGAGTGATGTCAACTTTTCAATGTTTTTATGAGCTTTTTTCATGATTTCCATGGTGTTACAGTTTGCTTCTGTAACATGCACACCTGTGCAAAACACAGCGCATCAAACCACAGAACATCATCCCTTCTCCCCAGGGGGTCCCTGAAGCCCCCGCCTGGCTGCTCTGCCCACCGCACAGCAGCCCCCGAGGCCCCTGTTCTCGGCTCCTGCCAGCCAGATTAGCTCTGCCTGTGGGAGAACATCACATGCCCGTGGCTCTACAGGAAGTTGTCCTTTGCGCTTGGTTCTTCTGTGCACACGGTAGTCCTGAGATGTGCCCCCATTTAGGATCCATCATTGATCCCTCTGGGCCGCTCAGCAGGCATGGATCACCCAGACGTCCTCCTGTGCGTGGACCTGTAGATTGCTTCCCATGCCTGACACATGAATAAAGCTTGTGTGAACAAGTGTGTGCGGACCCCTGTCTTCATTTCTCCCAGGTCAGTACTCGGGAATGGGACTGCTGGGTCAGAGTGTTGGTCTGACTGCACTAGAAACTCCGAGGTGGCTGCTGCAGTAGCACATCCCGGGGCCCCATCCCACGGGCGGGTTCTGCTGCTGTGCAGCTTGGCCCACGTGTGCTCACCTTCCTGTGTTTGGTTTTAGGCGTGCTGGTGAGTGAGGGCTGTCTCCTTGGGATTCAGAGTTGCACTTCTCTAGTGAACAGTGATGGTACGTATTTTCTCTTGGCCATGTAGATATCTTTCTTTGTGGACAGTCTGAGAAGACTTCCTCAATTCTTTTTTCTTAACATACAGAGACTTTTTAAAAATATGTTATTGTAAGGACAAGACCTAGGCCAGACACATGGAATCCAGTTTTCTTCTATTGGGTTCTTCATTTTCCTAAAGGTATCTTTTGATGAGTTGAAGGGTTCTTTTTAGTTTGAAATGCCTAATTGATTCACTCCTTTTAATTAATGCAATCTTTCTCCTATCTGAGAAGTTTCTGGCTGCCCTAAGATCATACAATAAGCTTTATGTGAAAGTTTATTCTAGAACTTTTTGACTTCAGATTTTACATTTTCATTTCTGATACATTCAAGTTTATTTGTCCATGTAGATATCCATCTGTTCCATCACCATCTCTGTGCATTTATTTTTTAATTGTACACAGTGAGGTTCACTCCCCCATCTTCTCTCCTACTTTCTGTGGGTGGCGTTTCCAAGGTCAGATCAGTTTTCAAAGCCTTTGCCGGGCAGTGTGAGTCAGCCAGGCACACGCATCATTCCACGTCAGACTGGGACTTGGAGGCGGGATATACGGTAGTGAAGATCTCACAGCTTCTGGCTCAGCTGCCTTGGGTCTGTTCCATGCATTGCCCAGTCAGCAGTGAGACGGAGACTGAGACCTCGCTTGGCCCCCATGCCTTCTTTGCAGCTCACCCCTCTCTGGAGTCAGTCCCACAATGGGGGGGCCACAGGAAAAACTGGCCAGGATGCCCAGTTCAGATACAGAGTGAATATTTTTTAGTATGGATGTCCTAAACAGCAAGTTTGATACAAATATGAAAGACATTCGTCATTTGTCTGAAATTCTGATTTAACTAACCATCCTACATGGTTTTGTACTAAATCTGCCACACGTATGCCACATCTTGCTGGAAACACAGGTTTCTATTGGGGTTTCAGCTGCACCCCCATTAGGTCATGCAGTTCTGTGCGACCTGGGGTCCTGTTTAGGGGAAGCAGCAGAGGGTAGAGGAGAGGAAGGGGTTGCAGCCACCAGCCCACGCTCCACGGGCCACCAGGTTCCCCTCCCTCCCGTCTCTGGTAAAAGGGGATGCGACTGCCTCCTTTTAGGGTTTCAGTGGTCCCCCCCGAAGCTGCCATGGTGACAACACAGCCCTTCATCCCTGATCAGCTGGGACAGAGGAGGGAGATTCATAAAGAACAAAGCACGAAGAAACAAGGGCCCTCTCCACGCCGTCCAGGCCAGGAGACTCTGTCCCTGGTCCTTGGGCTGGAAGCAGGGCGCCTCTCCCAGTTGTGGGTCAGCACCCGGCACCCAGTTCTGAGACCCTGGCAGCCCCCTGCTCGCACCTGGGACACCGAGGGGGGCAGATTGGGAGCGCCAGCCCTGTGATGGCACCTTAGCCAGGTTCTGATTTCAGTCGCCCAGACGCCTAGTGTTTACTTTGTTAAGAGCTCCCCAGTGTTGGTCTTCGTGTGTTGTCCAGAGATCATAGACATCCTCGATGGAAGGAGGTCTCACCTGCCTTTTCCAGCTTAGCCCCTTTGTTACACTGTGGAAAATCCCTCCTTCCCCCAAGGGCTTCCCCGGGCACCGTCTGTCTCCACCTTATGCGTGGGCTTGTGTCCCTTTCAGAGCCCTCAGCGTTCCTTCGTCCGTCTATTCGCCTATCCTCTCCCTAAGTCCACGCAGTGCCGACTCACTCGTGACTACCCTCCCGGTCACGCCTGAAGAGCAGGTACCTCAAGCCCTCTGGATGTTGGCATTCGTGTCAGGCGTGGGTTGACCATCTAGCTCCTGCCACCCTTCAGCGGGTGCCTGTCCACACAGCTCGCTGGCATCAGTGAGGACTGAATTGCGTCTATCCACAGCCTGCAGAGAGCTGCGCTCCTCACAGTACTGACTCTTCTTGACGCCTGCATGTGGTTTCTCTTTCCATGGATCTAAGTCTGATTTCTCTCAGCACTGCTTTATCATGTCAGGATGGAGGTTCTGCTCAGCTTTTGTTTTGGCGAATATTTATCCCTGCTATTCCATGTTTTATGATGTAGTTGAAGATGGCATTTTGGTACTTAAAATCTCATTTGTACGTGATACGTAAACATAGACCCAGCGTTTTGATACTGAACTTTAAACTCTACCAGCACTAGATTCACTAATTAGCATCATTACTTGTTCATATGCCTTAGCATCTTGCACGTTCAAAATCATGGTTCTTTAATTACAGACTTTTAGCTTCTCTACCTTCTTAATACCCTCACCTTAAACAATACAATTACTGTATTATTGCACTGTGACCTGCAGTACATATGGAGTGAAAATGAGAGTGAATATTCTCTTATTTTCACCTCGCTTTAGGGGAAAGTGTGTGGTCTTTCAATCATCACACTCCCACAATCATAACTGGGTCTTGAATTCTATCACATGGTTTTTCTACATTTACTAAAATCACATATTTTTTTCTCTTATATTATTAATACCGGTTACACTGATTGTTGTTTTTTTTTTTAATGTTAATCCACCTTATGTTTGTGGAATAACTCTCACTTGGTGGTAGTATTATTAACTTTTTATTCTTTATTTGCTGAACTTGATTTTGTTGATTATTGTCTTGCTTCATTTTTATACTGTTCTTACTTAGTTTTGGTATCAGGGTTGTTCTGGCTTTATTAAATCATTACAGATAGTGTGTTCTCTCTGCTTACTGAAGGAATTTGTGCAGTTTTCGTTTTATTTCTTCAATTTCCTAAAATTCATCAATGGAGCTATTTGGTTTCAAATTTCCTTTGGAGGAAGGTTTTAGTTAGAAATTCAATTTCAGGGCATTCTCTTTTTTATCCCTCTTATGTTTATTATGGTAACATTTTTTTAATATCAATTTCATCTAAGTGCTTAATTTTATTGGCATGAATATTTATAGCCTCCCTTTAATATCCTGTAAGGAGGGCAGTGACTTCCCTTATTACCTTATGAACCCAGGAAATCACTCCCTCTCTCTGCTGCCTCCCAACCCCCCCAACCCCTTGTGGATCAGGTTTATTGATTTTATTCATCTCTTCCAATGTACCATATTTTGTTTTGGTTGACATTTTCTGTCATTTCTTCATTTTCTATTTCAATGCCTTAAATATTATCTTTGGTATTTCCTTCATTTTACTTACTTTGGGATTCAGTTGCATCTCTTTTTCTGGCTTAAGTACAAGCTCAGTGTGTCAGTTTTGAAACATTGTTCTTTCCTAATATGAGCCTTTAGAGCTATGAATTTTCCTGTAAGCCTGCCTTAGCTGCATCCCCAGATTTTGGTTAGTTTCATCTCTCAGTTTAAAATGTTTTCTAATTTCCATCTCATTTCCTTTTTGTCCTCTAAACATGTTGCTTAATTTTCAAATACATTGGGTTTCCTAGGACTTCGTTACTGACTTCTAATTGTTTTAGTGGCAACCATACTGTGTATATTTTCAGTCCTTTTATGTTTATTGAGATATTTTATGACCCCACCTCTCTTGATAAATATCCCATTTGTCTCTTGACAAGAATGTGTATTCTTCAGCTGTTGAGTGGAGGGTTCGTTCCATCAGTGTCGATTAGAGTAAGGTGCTTAAGACTATTGTTAAATCATCTATGTCCTTTGTGGTTTTGTTTTGGGGGCTTTTTTGTCCATGTTTTCCAGCAATTTCTGAGAGAACTGATTTGACAGGTAATGTACTCTTCCCCTAATACATTCTCCCTTTTTTTCCCTTCTCTCACCTTCTGGGCCATTTTTGCAAGTCTGAAATCTGCAGGCACCATAATTGCAACTCTTTTCAGGTAAACTTTTTTATTTGATACATGTCTCTTTATCCTTGAAATTGTGCTGTTTTATACTGTCTACGATTTGGTTGATTTTTATGGCCTCTGCTTGTCACGCGATTGCCCTTTTGAATGGAGTACTCTCTTTCCTTTAGTTTACCATTTTTTTTAATGTTTACTTTCTTCAGGAACTTTAAACTTATATAGTATCTTCTCAATCTATTCCCCATATTGGGTAACTTCCCTTTAAGATGTTCTTCTTCTTTTTGTCTCTGAGCTGACCCTGGGTCAGTTTGTACACACTGCCTCCCTGGGTACAAATTCTCTGTTTGAATTTTCCCCATCTAGTGTTTATCTTCTCCCTTCAGGACTTTTTTTTTTCTTTTTTTAATATTCATCTCTCACATATCCTTTTGAGTATCCAAAATAGTTATTCCTCTATCTTTGTCCCATTTCCATTTTTGTAGTTTGCTGTGGGCTAAACTTACCTTGCAGTCCCTGGATTCGTTGGCTTCCCTCCTATTTCTCTGTGTTTGCATGGATATGTATTTGTAAGTTCATGTAGAGGAGATATTCTTATCCACTGTCCATGTTCCCGTCTTCAGATTCATTAAGGACCTCCACTGACCCCAGAGGGGAGGGCTCAGCCCCCCGTGCATCCTGGGGAACTCCTCCCAGGCACTGTGGAATCTGGCTGATCCTATTCCTGCGCCAGTGAGGCATTGATTCGGCTACTTTTTGGTTACTCTTGAGTTCGGCAATGTGTCTTCCTCACCCGGGGCCCTACCACACCCTTACAATATGCTAAAGGCACCAGGGTGCCCGAGACAGCCGAGCTTCCACCACATTCTCTTCTGAGTCCTGGTTTCCTGTAGGCGAACCAGCTCGGGTGCCCCAGGGAGGCAGGCAGGGGCGATCTTTATATGTTGGTGCAAACACGCTCCTGTCGAACTCGGAGCCCAATTTGTGGACTGGGGGCTTCATCCCACTGATGTTAGAATCTTCTCTTTTAATGTTTATCTGTTTTGAAAGACAAGCCGTTCCACACACTGAGCTGTCTTGATTAGAAATCAACAATGTCTGTTTTTGTTGTTGTTTTGCACCAATAAAAAGGCTTTACTGTCTCATTAGAAAGGAGTTATCGCAAAGAAGCCGCAGCCCTTAGCATCTGTTTTCTTGCTCTTGAATTAAGTAGTCCTTAGCACACAGTGTCAGGCCCCTCCATGGGGGAAAGGGGCCGTGCATTCCTTTCCCGCTCCTGTTGGGTCACCCCCAGCCAGGGCCAAACGAACTGGCCTCATCCACAGCAGCACCAAGTACAAACTGACTTTCCCCATCCCGCCACCTCCCCAGTAAAGGGAGGATGGGCTCGCTGAACGGTGAGCCCCTACAGCCAGGAGTACCTCTGGTCCTGTCAATGGGCCAGCGCCTCTCCCTGGTGTCAGTCTGGAACAGAACAGGTGCTCCTTGGGTCCTTGGTGAGAGCAGAGGGCTGCCAGGCCGACCTTTGGCCTCCACTGAAAGGCATTCTTTGATCTGGCCTTTATCTAGCCATGGAAAGCCAATAGGAGCATGGTGGATCTTCAGACGAGAATAGCCGTAGAAAGAGGAAATATTGCGGAGAAGATGGGTTTGCTGGAATCCATCGAGATTATTTTCCTGAGTTCTGCTCTGTGCTGTGTGTACAGATGTGACTGAGAGGACTTGCTGCCCTGAATTACTTTGCTGAGGCCAAGCCCTTATGGTGAGGAGTCAGGAAGCTTGTCAGTGATACAAAATTGGACAAAGCAGTACAGTTCCCCAGGCCTCGGTGTCCTTGTCTGCAGAGAGTAACAACATTTAGCACCCTCTGAGCTTTTCCTAAAGGCAAGAGACTGAATGCTTTATGCTCAGCACCACATTTAATCCTCACAGGTTCCCCGTAAAGCAGGTACTGTGGCTAATCCCTTTTACTAATTGCCCATATCACACAACAGAAAATGCATAGCCCTCAGATTTGCAGGGTACCAACCAGCTCATTACATTAAGGTGTGCCTTGTGCGTAAAACAGGCATGATTGTTTCTGCCTTACCAGTTAGCTCCGAGGAGTAAATGAGGTCCTGGGACACAGCACATGCTTAGAAATATTAACTCATGAGCAGTGTGGAGGTGGCATCTAACTGTGAAACCTGAGAGATGCCCATCAGATTTTCCCAGGGCTTCTTTCTCCTTGACATCTCCTGCTATCCTTACACTATCACCTCCCCAGCCAGACACAGCTCCATCTATCCTGTTTTCTTCCTCTGTGTGTGTACATCTTTGTCACACTAGCTATTTGCAAATGCAAGGACTCAGTTTAAAACCATGAGCTCCCAGGGAAGCTGTTTTCTTTTCAAATTGAGTGTTAGGATATCCGTCAGAGGCCGGGGTATGGCACAGGCACGGTAGAGACAATATTCCGGGTCATGTAAATGCAGTCGAGGACAGTGCCTGTGGATGGGGCGGAATGGATGTCTCCTGTCTCATTGAGAACATGATGCTCATGACAAAAGTCAGGGAGGGGCCAGGGATAGGCAGTGAGCTACACACTTCCAATGAGTGGCAGAATGCAATGAAATTGAAATCAAGCCATGCTTGTTAGTGGGACAAGCAGCCATGCCTCTGGCCACTGCAAAATGTCTAGCTGCGTGCCCCCAAATTCAGTCAGAAACTCATTGTTAGGGTGTCTGCCACACCCCTGTACTCCAGTAGAGTGATTGGTTTTGGAGGTGGGGTCTTTGGGAGGCCATGAGGGTAGATGAAATCAAGAGGGGGGGCCTTGATGGAGTCAGTACTTTCAATCTGGTTCCTGTTCTCCCAGACCACCCTGAGAACGTGTGAGAGCATCACAGGTGGCGGCCACCTCCAAGCCAAAGAAAGAGGCGTCAGAGGGAGACCTACACGCCTGGTACCCCGGTCCTGGACTTCCCACCTGCAGCTGGTGAGAAGGAAAGTTCTGCTGTCTCTGCTGCCTACTCTATGGCATTTTGCTAGGGCTGCTGGTGACGAATACAAACTCCATTACAATAATCCCCACAACAGGAAGCGGTAACCCCTTCTCTGTGTTTACCATCTTACTGCTGTTTTCATAATCTCTTACCAAATACCACCACACACATGCATGGATTTTTGTACCCTTGTAGGTATATCATAAGCTGTTTAAGGGCAGGTACCCTGTCTCGTGTCCTAGCATCTATCCATCGGTCTTATTTTGCAAAAGTGGTCTGTCAATGATTTTCATTGCCGAAATGTACAATTAACAATGAATGGTTTTTTGATTAAGATTTCCTCACGTCCTGAACTATTTCATTTCTGACTGTGTTCATTTGAGATCCAAGAGGAAAACAATGGGATGTAGATGGCGTCTCAGTGCAAATGGGAGAAAGGGTGAGTGAAGAAAGGATCCATTTAGAAAAATAATCTGTGATGGAAGTAATAAAATCATTCAGGTATGCTGCATTCCAAAAGGCTGGCCTTCTCCCTCGTCGATACACATGTGCTTCCTTCTGCACGTCCACACGATTCCAGGCTTAGTTTCCCTTTTTCCTTTGAATTGTATCATTTTAAGACCAACTGAAGTGACACCCCTTCCTCATACTCTGTGCAATAGAGACCTCATTTTCTTACCTTTTAAATTGCAGCAGACAATAGTAAATGAGGCTTGTACGTGTCCTGGATCATAAGCATGCTCCTTGTGTATAATATATTCTGTATCTTCTGCTAGTTCTTAAATTAAGAGCTCTGCTTACATCCCTTCCGTAGAATCCCCATCAAACTGGGTGCCAAGCGTCGTACACGGTTTCAGATCAGCGTTTGGCTGCAGATTTTTCATTTGTCGATTTAATTTAGGATACTTTGGTTCCTGGTTGTTATTATGTATCCCTTCCACATTTTGTATTAAACTGTTCTGAGGCATTCACATTGCAGATTGGACCCAGAAGTAACACAAGATCCATCCCCATTCTCTTAAATATTAAATCCCTGGCTCATGTCACATAAATTCTTCCTAGGCTCCCAGGGGCATTAATGTGGATGCTGGGTCTGGTTCTGTGAAATTCTCCTGTTTTTTTCTGCCCTTCACCCGCCTCATTCTGGCATACAAGCTTAGGCTGAGCAGGACCCTGCCACTCCAAGGTGCGTGATGCATAATATTACACTGGGCATTTTTAAGAAGCCAATTTAGCAAACTTGAAAGGTCCCAGTGCATTAATTTTAAACTCTTCCATAATTTCAGCATGCACCTTTAGCCTCCATAGCAATCGTAGGAAGATTTTGATACCTGATCTGGCCTAGGCTTCTTCTTATTTACACTGAATTGTAAGTAGCACTTAGGAAAAATAAAGGTAAATTTTTTTGTGTATATGTACAAAATAATGTCATTTATCTCCACTGGATTAGATATGCCTCTTCAGAATTAAAAAGAAGTTTTTAGTGCTTACTCTATAGTACTGTTTATAGTGTATCTGTAACATCTTCAAATAATAGTGCACTTCGTCCTATAGAAAGTAAGCTCACAACAGTGTGCTACCCAAGCAATGTTGTGCTATTTTTGTCACATGTTTTACTTCAACATATACGTTAAACCTACAGTTTATTAAAATTTGCTTTAAACTGTTGATTACGTTTTAAAGAAATTTCAAACAAAAAAACATCCCTTGTATTTGCCCACAAGAATACTCGGTTTAACATTTCTTAAAGAGCAAGTCTGTTGGAGACAAATTTCTCAGCTTTAGTGTGTCTTAAAAAGCCTCTCTTTCTCCCTCCTTTTCAAATGATGTTTTCACTCTACAAAGCATTACAGACGGACAATTGGGAGGGTTTTTTTACAGCCCTGTGTCGACGCTGTTCCATACCTGACGGCTGACACAGTTTCCATGGGGTACGAGTGAGCACCTTAAGGCACAAAATAAGAAAAAAGCCAGAGAACCTTGAACACACGGAGCCAAATTGATTTACACACTCCTCAAAACTGGCATCTTGCTCCTCTGATTCCCGCGTGAGGAAACGTCAGCAGACGGACCTCCCATTTTCATACACAGGGTGTATTTGAGGGGGTGATGGACACCGTGTACCTAGAATGGGCGTGGCTCTCTTGCATATGGAAAATAGCTAAGAACTTGACTAATTCTTCTCAGTAACCAAAGGGTTTTCAAAGTGCCATTTCTCTGGAACTCAGTGGTCAAAAGTTTGGCATACGAATCCTCTAGTTCCGTTGAAATACCTATTCGTTTGTGGAACGATTGCCCAATGTATTTTCCTGTTTTAACTGTGTAACCCACTAATTCAACTAGAATTGACTGATTTGTTTTTTTAGTGCCCTATGTATACACTCTGAAAAACCCATTAAGTAGAATAGTTGTTTTTTGTGTTGCCGATATTTGCAATGAAGAGTTTTGCGTTTTAGCGGCAGTGTTCACTTCTGGGAGTCATGTGCAACAGGGGCACACATCAGAGTCTTAATCTTGTCTCTCTTCAGGCGCAAAGAACTGGGAGAGCGGTATTGACCTGCATTGTGTCCGAGAGGAAAAGGTGCGTGTATTCTGCTTGCCCGGTCCATTGTTCTTTAAGGTAAAATAGTGCTGCGTTTAGTTTTCATTTTACAGCAAACACTGACATTGCAGGTAAAATTTACTTGAACTCCCACCAGTGAATTCCAGATTAAACAGAAAGTCATTGTCTTGGCTCTATTTCTGCTGTCATTGCCTTTTTAAAGGCTCCCAAAGCAGCAAGGGTGAAAGATAAAATAATAAAACATTAAACCTTAAAAGGCATGGGATGAAAAAAAAAAAAAAGGAACTATAAAAAGTAGAGGCTGGTCGATTATGAAACAATGACAAAATCCTTACAAACAGGAATATTTCTTCCAGGAAGAGAGAGGGAGTTTGAAAACTCCCATTACTACTTAAAATGCCACTTACAGTGCTTAATGGTCTGGAAATGTGTTTGAATGCAAAACGCCAGGCACTGCAGATTGACTTTGCCATAAATTTAAAGGGCAAGTCGCAAGGAAAGTGCTGGTTAGTAGCTGGTTATGAATGGCCTGGGCTCCAGCCAGCGGTGCAGCCTAGGGGTCTGGCAGGGACTTGCAAATGCCGAAGTTCAGGTTCATGGCAGCATCCGGCTGGTCCAAGGTGGGAAAGGACCACAGCTCACCCTCCTCGAAGCTTAGAGCCATCACCAACCTCTCAGCTGATAGCGCTCACAGGCGTTAGAATCCCTGGAAGATGGGGCAACACCCAATGTCAGGGTTAACTGACCTCTACAAACAATGCAGAAAAACAGTAACACTGAAAGCAAAGAATGGCAAACTGGATATACTTGGAAAGCTTCATCTTTCTAAGCACCTGATTGGAAATGACCTATTAGTTTTTACCAGTCAGGACTGAAAATATTCACAAAGACAGAGAAGCACATAGAGTTTGCTGCAAGCATTCACTACTAATTTAATAACACTGACTGGGCATGCACTATGCAATTAACACTGTGCATAAGTAAAGCTAAGGTTTATTATCAGGTTCCCTGTCTGGTGAGGGGCCAGATTCAGGCATCCAGTGATGCTGGCACATATGGCCATGGACACATTCTCTATGTATCCCTTTCTATGCATCTTAGCACATGTTGGATGGGAATAATCCTCACCTGTAGGGAGATCAGGTTGAATAAATAGACTGACTCTTGTTAGATGAGTTTTAAAAAATTTATATTTTGGGTTCTGGAATTATTTATTTGCAGACTATTTTAATTACCCTAAACTGGAAATTATGCCTAGAGTTTTTTGGGCAATGTTGTAACTCAGAAGTGTCTCAGTTTGGTGACAAAGGGTCGTCGTGGACAGAACATGAATATGCAAAAAAACGACACTGCAAAAAAGAGCAGATATTTTATTCCCAGAACAATGGTCTTAATTTTACCAGTTTCTGAAAGCAGTGCCATCATTTTGAGCAAAAACAAACACTTACGGAGCATAAATTTCACTTTTACATGATCGTAACACAACTTCTCTCACAGGGTTTTCTTTATTCGTTTCTCGAAAATTGTTCATCTCTGCTACTGTGATTATATATTTGATTTATTCATGTGCTATTACATAAAAGTAAGCCTTATTAAAAGGCATTATTCAGAAGTATTTCTCCTGCTTTGTGTAATGCAAGGCCTAGATTTTTCACGTGGACATGGGTCTGTGCCAGCACTTCCTCCCAAAGTTTAATGGCCCCTAAGGCACCTAGGGGTCTTGTTAAAAACACTGATTCTGCAGCATTTGGAGGAGTAGGGGAGGCTGAGACTGCGTTTCTCCTGTCTCCCAGGTGAGTTGATGTGCTGGCCCGTGGGCCACACTGGGAGCGAATGATGGAGCCCACAACGTCCGATCCATTCTCTGTAAACAATGTGCACAGCAGGTCCTGGTTGCCTCCCCTGGAATCTTTGAGCATAGGGCCTCCCCAAGTCCCTTGGCATTTGCTCCACACTTTGATAAGATCGCTCTCATGAGACCCACAGTGTTAAACTGGCTTTCATCCCAAATCCCATCCCCTTATCAAGTTTGTCTGAAAGGGGTTTCTTCCTTTGAGAAATCCTGAGCAGCTTGAAATGGTTCACCACACGTTGTCCTGATCGTTGCAGGTGCCCTGACAGAATAAGCTGCCTACCGTTGACACCATTCCTGGAGATGTGTTGCAATGTTTAGTTTTTTGTTTCTTTTTGGAGTGAGGATGGTTGAATGCCAACCGGAAAGATGATGGGCACAGATTATGCTCATCTGGTTCAATTCAGACACGATGATCTCTGAGTAGCCTTCATCACAGGCGTATTTTTCTAACAGTTAGTGTTATAGCGATCATAATATTAACTATACTTCCTCTGTGTTACTTGCTGTGTAATTACATCCAATCCTAGTGACAACCTTGAAATTCAGGTATTTAATCCATGTTTTGCTGCAAGCAAACTTTACTTTGAGAAGTTAATTCACTTATTTTTATATTGTTTATAGCAAGTTAGGAGTGGAGTCAACGATTCAAGCACACTCCAGTTCTTTTTTCTGTGCATCTGTTTGCAGCTTAGCTCACAAACCTCCATTGTGCCAATCCAAAGGTTATTGTGTCCTGGGAGTAAATGTACCAGTGCATTTTCCATCTGCTCTTTTCCTCTCTCTAGTGGAAGTCTGGTTTCCAGGAGGTTACCCTTGCTTGTTTTAGCTAAATTGAGAGGGCCATCTGGGCCCTGGTACCCCCACAGGCTCCCCCCCATACCTCTCTTGCTGTAAGGCCGGCCCCCTCTGCCTCCGGGGTCCCAGGAAACCAGAAGACAGTCTCCATCTCTCGTACTCAAGGCCATTTCTACTCTCCTGCAGCCACATCCTGCACATATGCTTTCCCTTTTCGAGGAACAGATTGCCTCTTGCAAGAGTTTCAGGTGAGGAAGGGATGCGTAAGGGCGTCCTGAACTTTCCTGTGCTTCCTGGTGAAAGGCAGCCCTTCACACACGGCCAGCAGGTCGTAGCACTGCGATCACCCGGCTCTGCCCACAGGAGCGCTCATGCCCCTTTGCCCGGTGGCGGAGTTTATCTCATGGGGCATCTCTCTCACACCCAGGTTTAAAGACACAACCCCAGTGTTTCCAGTTCTCCAGGATTTGCCTCTAGATTCTTAAATGCAAATTTGGAATTAAGGAAAAACGTTTTCAAGCACCACTTTCTTGCAAGAAATACTCAGCTTTCAAGACCAGCATTTCTGCTCCGGACTGAAAGAAAGCACCACTTTGCTATGCAAAAACCGTGAATTTGGCTTCTCTTTCGAGGCTCTTCTGTGCTCCCCCTGTGTGGGGGCAGTAAGTTCGCTCCAAAGGCTGATTTTAATGGTGAAGATCTGCAGAAAATACATAAATACCAAGAAGAAAAATGCACTAGGTATTATTTCAAAAAAATTAAAATAGAGCACATCTGTATGGTTGGGAATAAGAATACAAATCCCAACAATAAGGTTGGCAATCCAGAAAATAATTTAGCAGCTGACACTGGTATTTTTCATGTACAATGTGCTGCTGCAGAGGTGGCATCAAGAGCTGCTCTTATTGGAAATACTTTGATTTCCAAAACTTCATCTAGAGTGAAAAAAGAGAAGGGGTTTATCTGAGAAGAAATGTGGCCCAAGTTTTATAGAAATCCTGAATGATATGCTTGAAATGCTTTGGAAGTGATGCGACAAGAAATGAAAATTCTGTTGTCTGGTTTGGTTTTATTTTCCATTCCCTTTTATTAAGATTTTATTACCTGGATATAATCTCCCAAATCTAGGATGAATCACACTCTTTTTTTTTTTTATGTCTTTTCAAAGTGCTGCTGAAGCAAAGTTTCCACTTTGACAAAACTGAGGTGTTTTCTAGATATTCCTGTCATCCCAAGCTAGGTAAACTGATATGATTTATATTAATAGCATCACCATTGACCGTGTTTTTTTCCCAAAAAGGCTTACCAAAGTTATGAGTGATAGAAAACAGAAATTTTGCATGCCTGAGTCCATGCTGATATGTTTGCAAAAGTTTCACATGCAGCAGGGTGGGGGACAGGAAGAGTACTGTGGGCTTCAGTGAGGGTCATGGGGGAACCTGGTATCGTGTGACTTGTAACCCTCCTAGGATATCTTTGTGACTATTGCATACAGATGTCTGATGGAGCAAACAGACTCCAGCGACACCAGCCTCTCATGAAATCTCCACACAAGCCTTTTTAACTTGCTCAAGATTTATGGCTCCTGAATCCAAAGACAGCAACACACATCTTATGGCCCCAGTTACTTATGTAAGACGATAGCAAATAAGCCATCGTGTCCGCAGGCACCGGAGGGTGCTGGGTTTTGAGTGTTTAAAGTGCTTGCCATTTTGCATTTGAGGGAAGTGTGGAAAATCACTTAACAGTCCCCATTCTCTGTTGTGTCCTGGGGATGCCTCCAGCTGGTCTGTGTGAGGAAACAGAACCACAAATAAAATTTGCAGTCTTAGAAAAACAGTTATCTCCACTTGGAATTTTTCAGTTCTTTAGACATCAGGAAATGGGTCGTGTTCATCTGAAGGAGCCGTGTGTGGGGTGTTGTAATACAATGGTGCATCTCTCTTTATGGATTATTATTTTAGGAATAAAACATTCTCAGCTCCTGTTTTTACCAAAATATATACAATCAAGTGAAGAGTCAGATATGCAGTTCTCCATCTCTGCACTAAGCATTGTTCATATTTTAAATGAAAAAGTTCATAGTAAATTAGAAAAAGCCAGGATGCAGATATCATGGATATTATCTCATGTTTTCAAGGAACCTAAATACAAAATGGGTTAGTGCTGTCCCTGTCGTTCTTTATGCAGAATGTAAATACTGTTAATAGTAGATCCGGTGGCAATTTAGCACATGTATTAAAGGTTCTCCTCCCTCTTAAATGGCTTGGATGTCTGGGATAACTAGTTTAATTCATGATCACATGGCATGAATGTGGTAAGGACTCTGTGGGCAAATGAGTCTCACAACTGAAAAGAATTACAGGCACACCTCGGAGATATGTGAGCTTGGCTCAGACCACCGCAATAAAGGAAGTGCTGCAATAAAGTGATTCAGGTGAATTTTTTGGTTTCCCAGCACATAGAAAAGTTATGTTTATACTGTACTGTCGCCTGTTAAGTGTGCAAGTAGCATTAGATCTCAGAAAACGTACAGACCTTAATTTAGAAATACCTGATTGCCAAAAACAAACAGCTAGCCGCCATCTGAGCTTGCTGCAAGTCATAATCAGTGATTGCCGATCACCGTAACAAATGTGGTCATTTTCAGAAGTTTGAAATATTGCAAGAATTGCCACAATGTGACCCAGACACAGGAAGGGAGCAAACACTTGGAAAAACGGTGCCAATAGACTTGCTGGCTGCAGACTTTCAGTTTGTAGAGAACGCAGTAGCCGTGAAACACAATAAGAGGAGGTGCGCCTGTGCTCTGTGACCTGTTGCTTATCAAAAACTGACAGCAGCTCCCAGAAGGGAGCAGGGGTTTAGGGTGCTGATCCGTATATACACAGGCAGTTGTCAGCCTCGGAGAATGAGTGGCGGAGGTGGCCATGGGGAACAGCTTCCCCTTGGAGCAACGGCTCATGTCATCTTCCCACTAACGCTACACACTTTTACTAAGTAGCACGTGTTTTATTTCCTGGGAACCTGGTTCCATCCTGATGTCATCTGGAGTTAAGAGATGACGAGTAAATATTTGTTCCCTCTTAGTTAGTGAAACTGAACTTTGGAAGCACATGACATAGTTTGTCCCCCTATGTCCCTGCAGCCCTCAGGTCCCGGGGCAGCTGCCGTCAAGGAGAACCCTGCCTCGATGCCACTTTCAATCTTAGGGAACTCAAGGGCTGGGATTGCAGAGGCCCAGGAAGAATAAGATCATAATACTCAGCTGGAAGCCCCTTGGCCGAATGTGTTCTGCTCATTTACCCTCTCCGACTCCCGGCTTAGTGTGTAACAGACCGTGTGCTGTCTTCCAAGCCAGAGGACAGAAATCATTCAAGACTGAGCCTCAGATAGCATGGCATTTACCACTGCTTTGACATCCATTCTTTTCAATGAGTGGCTAGAACTACTTGTGACATCCTTGAAGTCCACTCAAAAATACAAAGAACAGACTCAGCCATTTACTGTAGGCAGTCTATTTTCTGCCTCGAGTCCTTCTGCAGACAACGCGACTAAAGGATGCATTTATCCCATACATAATTGGCACCGAGCAGTTCTGGCCTAAATTCTTCAAATACAAAGTCATGTCGATACCATTTCTGAAAAATCAGTAGTGACATTGAACCCCATGAGCACTTTGAGCAAACTATATTCCTATAATTAAACTTGGATTCCATCACCAGAAGCTGAGTTTGAATTAATTGTTTTTTTTTTACATTTCACTTAATACTACTACTTCTAAGAATAGTTCATGTAAAATTTGGAATAACCACAGGATGAAGCTTATACCACACTAGGGTACAGTTCACCATATACAAATAAGCACATAGTAAAATGTATGTTATTAAAATTTGACCATTAACAAAAAAAAGAGGACAATGTCCTGTTTTTCCATGTGACACTGGGGTTTGCAGAAATTTTGCAATCGCTGATAAGAAATGCAGGCATCCCAGACATGATGCAGGCACGGCAGGTGGGATCCCAAAGCCACCTGAGGAAGCCCACTGGTATCAGGCTTGTCTCTGGTTAAGGTTGCGTTCCACTGCGCTCCGTGTTACCAGGTATCTTGCTGTATTCTCCTTAAAGGCTTCAGAGTTCCTGTTCTTCATTTCTGCTTTCGTGCGGCCTCACTTTGTATGGAAGATGGACTAACTGGAGAGAACAAAGCTGTCACAAAGCAAGACCCACCGCTAAAGTCAATTCATCACGAAATGTATTAGAGTGAACTAAAAAGCAACTTACTGGCTTACCCAGAAAGGTACCATTATTTTGATTTATTTTGAAAGTACCCAGTTTTCTCATCCCTCTTTCTGTTTATATTTGTCCCTTTTTATTTTGATATATTTTCAAGCATACAGATAATGGCTAAGTTTATACAAAATTGACTGGAAACATGCAACATACTCAGTATGTTAAAATTATGCCACATTTGCTTTACTGGATACCATCGGTGTGTCATCTGTATCATCTGCCATCTTTCATCTATCTAATCTCTTTCCTGTGTTTCTCATGCACACACTTTCACGTAACACACGTGCACACGCCCCTACATACAAAGTAGATGCATAACTTGCTGAGCCATTTGACGCCGAGGCACACATATCACACCTACAGAGCAGTAAACATCTTGGTGTGTGTGTCCTAAGGCTGAAGACTGCCCGGGTCTGCCGCAGTCATCAAAGTCAGGGAAATCGGGACTGGTTCTATGACGTGGTTCACAGCCACTTTTCAGCATTTCCCATTGTCTGCAATTTACCTTTTAGGTTTGTTTTTCCTTTCCCAGGCTAACCCCCCCACAGCACCGTGACCTGCCTTACCTGGTCCCGTAGCTGCACCATGCCGTCTGGAACAGTCTGTCATTGTGTTTCGTGACCCCACAGTGCTGAAGGTCACAGGTCAGTTCCTTCCCGGGAGCTCATTAGTTTGTCTGTTGATTCCCGACAGTGGGATTCCATTGATTGCTTTGGGGCAAGAATCCCGCCTAAGCAATGGTGTGTTCTCCCCAGTGCTTCGTGCCAGGAAGCACGTGAGGCCCTTCCCTTTGTCCTGTCCCTGGGGATGGTCATCTCCCAGCCAAGGCAACGTCTCCCCAATTTCCTCCTATCCACGAATCAGCCCTTGGCGATTCATAAGACATTGGTGGTACTGCTAAGGAAGCCGTGAGATACTTTGAGGCTACGTACGTATCATCCTGTTCATCACACTCCTTTTGGCATCTCGTTGGCATTGATACCAATGTGATGGCAGACAATGGTGGTTTTCTAATGCCCTTCGTTCCATGTTAGTTGACTAAAGAGGGGCTTTCCCTTCTCCGTGTGGCATCAGTGTGGACTCATGGGTAACACCATGCCTTTAGCTGAAGTCAGCCCTTCCCCATCACCCACGCACACACTCCTCACACGTGCTCAGCAATTCTGAAGCATGTCCTCATGTCAGAATCAAGATAAAAATAAGTGACAGTCTCCACTTACTAATTCATTAAGAAAATGCATTGACTTACACGATGACAAGTACTTTTACCTCTAGCTCCTGCTTCCAAGCGTTTGTAGCAAACAGACGCGATGCAGATAACGTCATAGCGGACGTGGGGTCTAAGGCTGTTTTAGGGTTTTACCCAAACAGCTTTCAGGAGGAGATGTGCACAGGCTTCTGTGAATATACAAGTCACTCCTACAAAACAAACTCAGCAATCATGCGGTGCTAAAATCATTGAACTTAGTGAGACACATAGTCTAGTGTAGTGATAAAATAATTGTTTTCATGAAAATTGAGTGTTTTCATGTCATAAGCCTTTGAGTGTTAATTTAGTGACTGCCTAATTCTCTGCCCCCAAGCTCCTCTCATCCATAAATGCCTCCACCAACTTTGAATAGTCCCAGTGGCTGGCAGAGAGCACCTCGCCCATTTTAACAATGCCTCTTGCACCAAATTCGCTGATTGGCATTTCCTGCTCAGAGGAGCAGGCATCCTTCCTGCAACTCCCCACCATGTTCCTTGTGTCCATTTGAGGACTGTTCATTCACTGTTGGGTCTTGCTGCTCTGGGCTAAATATTCCCAGTTCCCACCTCTGTTCCCAAAGACCTCATTTCCTGCCCTATTTGCTCTACCCTTCACTCCATGGAAACTCTTACCACAAAAGGTACCAAGGCTCAGTAAGCACTTCTTAAGCCCGTCCTCATTTAACATCACCATAGTTGTTTGAATGTCAACATGAGGATGATAATAAACCCCAAACAACAGGCTCCACCTCCTAATTTATGAGGAGAAGGCATTGTGACAAGCAGGACCACTGTGGTGGAGAAAAACATAAGCTGTCACATTCGGGCTCTTTCAAAGAGTGCTGCCATCGATGATTAACGTCTGCCGGGTTTGTGTGGAGACGGTCGTGTTCCTTTGCCAGCCTACATTGTGAATGAGATGATGGTTTGGACACAATATTTCAATGTGTTCTAAACAGGGCAGCATACTACATATTCTGTATGAAATGGAATAATTCCAATATGCCAGTCTCTAAAATCACTTAGATTTTATCACACCATTGGTGTAGAACGAATATGTGTAGTCAACTGAGACGTCAAGGCTTTTGTTTCCGCATAACATGCTTCGTGGATCGTAGCTGATTACATGATCTCACTATTATCAAAAATGGGAAATCGCTTGGTTGGGCATACTGAGAATAAATACAATGCCATGAGGATAAAAAAAATGAGTATCACCTTTCTCTTCAGCTTTAATAAAATTAGCGTGCAGAACTGCTGAATAGGTGAGAATTTACTTCACTGTTGTTCATATGAAAATTATTTTGAGTGTGTCAAGACATAAGAAAAGTATGTCAAGGTTTTCCACAGAAAATGTAATTTACATGTTTAATCTTTACCTTATTGCTAGCTGAAAACATGACACAATTATACTATGCTAACATTTTTCATAACGTTTCATGCTCCTAAAACACCTCCGTGTTTATTTTTCATTTCTTGTGCTTCTCCAGCCTATATTGTGGATGAACACACATTCTAAGGGGAGAAATCATAAGCCGTGGAACTGTAAACACTTAACCTACTGGAGAGCTCCTTCAGGGGCTTATTCTTTGATTCAGTGAGTAATCAGGTGTGACAGCAGCGAGAAAGCCTTTTAAAATGTTTCAGACAGAACAGTAAGCCAGACACTTAGCAGCCCTATAGTCTAAAGTGATAACTTTTAAAAACAGGAAAATGGTTGCAAACTATAAAATAAAGGGAGAGATCACCAAAGGAAAAAGCAAAATAGCTTTGCCTTCCACATGTGAAAGCAGCTCCTCATTTCCACACGTGCAGACACGTCCGATTTCCATAAAGCACTCCCTAGGGACACCCTGCTGTCGGTCCCAGCAACACTGTCCTCCTCAACATGACACGTTTTGTTGAGAAAAGAGTTCTTTTGACACTTGGTCACTGTTTAGTTTTATATTAGAAATATGCATGATGATAAAAAAAATCATAACAATTCCAATATTCTTTATAGAAAAGTCTCCAGGGGGTAGTCTGCCCGGGTTGTATTTCTTCTCTTTGCTGAGCCAGGAGAAATATGAATTCTGCCCAAAAAAGAGGAGAAGATGGCCCTCTGGACAAGAAGGAGTACCCGATAGTGAGGAGCTCCTCCTCGCAGCTCCATGCAGGGGTTTTCCTGCTCACAGGACTTTGCATTCCCGTGCCAGGGACGCCGGCCTGCGGCTCTTTCACCACGGACACAGACCGCACTTCACACCCCCAGGAGCTGTGGCCTGAAGACAGTGTCATGGGCTCTAAACCTAAGGAAGCGGTGGCTACTTTCCTTTTCCATTAGAAGACTCTAGAAAGAGCCAGAGGCGTAGCTCTTGTCTTGCAAAATTAGCCCCATGGCTCTAAATGAGTTCTTAGGAGCAGCATTCGATGCTCCTCAATCCATCGAAGTAACATGGCTTGCACTTAAGGCACTGCACTACAGCAGCCGGTCGGAAAAGAAAAACAAAGGTACATTTTTCCACCGTACATTTGCATTCACTGAATATGTAAATATCTAGTTATCCATATGTTTGGCAGGACCTGGAAGGTGAGGAACTCAGACAGCCCAGTGAGGTTCTGGAAATGCTGCACGCTGACTGCTAACGGAACATAAACAAAGCATTTGCAGTATGGCATTTTTATGAGGTGCTGTGCCTTATCTCAGTGTCCATCTCCTGAAGGTCGAACTGAAGAAACATTTAATGAAGCTTTAAATGTTACGCAGAGCTGGCACTTATTGTCAGGACAGCCACTCATTAGGTAAGATGTGTGTGTGTGCATATTTATGTTGGTGCCAGTATAAATCTATGGAATAGTATATAATAATTACATATATATCACTAATATAATTATATGTATCATTAATATCTGTGTGTATGTATGTATATCCACATATATATGTATATTTGAAATATGTGTTATATATATATATATTTATCATATTCAGATCAATTCTTTACCTGGCTTGTAGGTACTACAGATCAAACACATGTGTTTCTTCTAACCCGACTTAGGAAAAGCCCCATATAATTGATAAGGCTGGTGTCACCTTCAGAGCTAGCAAATGAAGTCTGTCTGGGGGAAAAAAATCAGAGTCCTGTCCATTTTTCATCTTTCCCTCTTCAGAGGCAACCAGCTAATGGTGTTCTTAATATTTAGAGGAAAGAATGATTACTCCTTAGCCTGGAATCCCTTTGTACATTGACTCTACCTCTATTAAAACATGTACCATATATTTCCATAATCATTTCTGCCTGTCTTACTAAATCAAGAACTCTTCAGGGACTAGGGACATAAAAATAATATTTGTGGTAGATTAAGATCGCTCTAAGTGTCAGATTCACTGCCACACGACTTTAGCCTCACCCAAATGCCACGTGATCGGTTTTATCATTTCCATTTGGTTCAGGAGACACAGGTTCAAAAGACCAAGCCACCCGCTCAAGATGACACCACAAATCGGTAATCAATTTCAGACTTGAAATGAATCCTGCCGAAAATCACCATCGGAGACATTTCAACCACCACCATGGATCACGTGTATTCATCCCAGGAAGTGACCCATGCTTACCCTACAATTCAGGTAATGAAAATATTTCATAATTATCTAGTTTGTTTTTTTCCACACACCGAAAGATGATATACAATGCTCTCTGTTTAGTTACAAGTGATCTAGTGAAGGGCTCTGTCTGAAGTTATAATTGCAGAGATGGTGTGTAATGACTGCATTCATTTCTACTGCTGCATAACAAAGTGTATCAAAAATGTAATGGCTGGAAGGATTCACTGCCTTGAAATTTCTGACAGGGGGGCAGGAGTTCTGGCCTAGCTCACTGGGTGCTCTGACTTAGGGTTTATGAGGTTGCAATCACCGGGCCCTCAAATCTGGAGCCATCTTCATTCAAGGCCGGGCTCACGGCTACTGGAAGGACGGCAGGATTCTGAGCCTCCTCTGCTGCTGGAGTAAAGGCCTCAGGTCTGTGCCGGCTGTTGGCAAGAAGTGGCCCTCAGCTCCTTGTCATATGGGGGTTTCCCTAGGGCCCCTCATAAATGACTTTGTGAAAACAAATAGGTAAGAAGAACCAGAGAGGGACGACAAAATAGGAGTCTCAAGCTTTTCTGACTTTACCTCAAACGTGTTTTGCTAACACTTGGCGGGACTGCATTCCTGAGAATCAAAGCGCCACTTCTAGTCCACACTCAACAGGACACGGAACACGGCATGAGGTAGGGAAGCCAGGATGCCTGGCGTCTTCTCAAACGGCTGCTCCCCACAGTGAATAAAAGAAGGGAATGTTTGGAACATTCTGTCCAGGACAGCACAGTGAGAATTCACGGCACATGGAAGAACTGAGTGACTCTTTTCAGAGGTGCCATTCAAAAGTCATCTCTTAAGCAGAATCATACCAATACTTCTAAATAACATGTAAGCATCTTCCACACAAGATCTTTGTTTTAGACATTACTCCCTCCCTGTCTGTCTTCAGAGCCCTGGGCATTATGCAAATCGACTGAGTAGTTTGTTTTCTTGCTTACCTCTGTCAAGATGCAAAAGTATGCAGGTGTGTATCGAATATAACAGGAGAAAATTAACCACCTCGTTTCATTTTTTAGCAACATTACACCCTTCAAACTTGATCTTCCACTACATGAGGAATTCACTTTGCATGAGTGACAGAGGATACTGGACTAGAAAGTTTCCAAGTCTGTTCTCCCGAGGTTTTCGATGAGATCAGCCTGGACACCAGACTAGCAACAACAGGACGAAGGCGTATGAGACTTTCTGTCCTGCCACAGAGACAAGCTCCTCATTCTCCTTTATCGTTCATACTCTGAGCCGCCAGTGTAGGCATTACGTTGCTGTACATTATGGATTTCATTTTAACTGGAGCATGTTAATATGTCAACTCACTAGTTTAAATGTTATCAATTACTAATGTTGACTTGCTAGTTCCTAAAGGGAAAACTTCTCAACTTCAATTTGAATCTTAACTTTTACTTCTGCGCTATTTGGGCAGAACACTGCTAATGGCATGAATCAGCCTATAAATCAGAGGATGAGACACTAATTTATGTCTCACTTGAAAGCTTCTGGGGATTGATCTGAACATGCGCCCCTGATATGTGGGGAGTTCATGATGGTGAAAACTCAGGGAATGGTGGAGACTGGTATCACACACAGCAGATTTTCCAGCCTCCTGGTCTACCCGCCCAACCCCCTCAGCATCTCTCTTCCACCTCCCCGGCGGTGTCGAGATTCCATCACCTCGGAGATGGAGACGGGGTCTGTCACAGGAGAAGCGCTCTGAGTGCCCTCTGTGTGTTTTGCACTGGATGCTCATGCTAAGAAAGCAGGTGTAAACGCCTGCAGTGGATGAATGAAAGAGTAAACCTGGGTACTCTTGTTTTCTTTAATTCATAAAGAGAAGTTGCAACCTGGTGATTTAAAACTCACGAATTCCTAGAGCTTGCTGCTATGCCCCTTCTCTGCAGTTCCTTAATGCCCAGGGTATCCTAGCATTTAACACACACTTCACGGAAATTATCTTTCCATCTGCCTGTCCGTCCAGCCAGATTCCTGGGGAAAAGACAGCATCTTTGTGCCCCAGCGCATAATACGACGCTGGCATGGACCACGTGCTCGGACATCAGCAAACCACAAAGGGTAATAATAGTACACGGGACATGCAGATCTCCAGAGGCGCTGGGGCAGTTCTGAACTTGCAGTGCAGATATTTTGTTATTAATATTCATGCAGGGAGAGCCATCATAAATGATGAAGCAGCCTCCCCTTGACAAGCGTGCTGATTAGGTTTTCCCAGCTTTAAAGCCAGAAAATGACTCCATTTATCTGAAACAACAAGGGTACATATGAAAACAAGGGGCCCTGCGGAAGCTCCACCAGGAGGCCACCCCGCTGACGAGGTGCCCCTGGGATCACCCACAGAGGCCTCGCCGGAAGAGCAGGGGCTCGAACACAGCCAGACCTGCGGAGAAGAGAGCTCGAGGCCGTTCTCACCGTTTCCCTGCTGCTTCCTGGCCTCCGAAGTTACTCGTGCTCACTCCTTGGCTTCCTCTTCTCTCCCTTACATTTTTGTTTGTCTCTCCTTCTGCCCAGGGTTTCCAAAGTCCACGTTAGGGACTGACAGGAAGAAGCCCCTGGCGGTGGTCGTCCTGCGGGGGGATGGAGCGACCCTCCCGACGGGATGCGGTTGTGTGCAAGTGTCTGGAGTGGGGACCAGATTATTATTTTGTTTGAACTGTTATGCTTTTTGCCAAATTGCTTAAGGCAAGCTGGAGTACTACGGCCTAGCCACGGTTATGTCATGCTTATGGAGTGATTACCGCAATAAGGCTGAGCAAGAAAAAAGACAAATCTCATCCAAACCCGGCCGGTGGAGCTAGACCCTCTGCTTCTACGTAGGATGGGGGTCCACTGATGCTGTGTGGTGCCCCGTGCTCTTTATCGGTGGCTGCTTGGGACATGCTTTCCTGATGGCTCATCACAGGAATGCAGGGGACATGGAAAGGCTCTGGGGGCCTTGGCACCAGGCTGGACCACGGTCCTGTCACTCAGTTCCTTCCCATTGGCCCAGCCAGGTTGCCAAGCCCAGTGTCAGCAGGACAGGCTATATACAGCTCACGACTCCAGGGATCTCAGCAAACTCTCCTAATGCACAGGTGTATGATTTTAGGACCAGGATTGCTCGAAGAATGGAAAACAAGGATGCAAACTTCCACTCATGATGTGTTAGCACTGGTCTCCATGAGCCTTTAGATGGTCTGGGGTATGTTTACTTCTGCTGTGTTCTCCCCAAGTGTAGTAAGAGAATATATAAGGCACGTGTATACCTTGATTAAATTATACTGGAGAATAATCAAAAGATTGTTGTCTGGCTTTCTAGACAGAGCTTTTGTTGCAAATAAGATACACAATTATAATAACTTCTTATACCCATACATATCCAGGATGTGTATTGCAAAGTGTTTGCTAACAAAGAATGTGGCGTTAACAGGGTGGTTCAGCATTTGAAGGCAGGGAGAGCTGATGTTTGTCTCCAGAGCCACAAATGGAGAAGGGAACCATTAGCCAAACAAGCAAAATACTTGAAATATTTAAACATCACATCCGCATGACCCCAAAGAGTAAGACTAAGTCATGATTTTGACTAGTTTTAGCTGGAATCAAGTAAAGGCAAGGCACAGCTTTGTCAGAATACATATTGTGACGTGCAGGTGAGCTCACGACCTGTGAAATCATTCTTGATTAAGAGCTCCTAAAAACCACATACACACACTAGATAAGCCTGAAAGAGGCTCAGAGGATTTAAGCAGAAATGCTCTTGTTTTTCTTCCAAATGCCATTTGAGAAAGACCAGATAGTGTGATGTGGGTTTCATATCAATTTGTCTCCACTTTCTCTCTAAGCATTTAATCTCTGGTAGCATTTCATGCATTACAGGACTTAGGATCTGTAGAGTAGACCGTGTGGAGGAGAGAGAACAGATAATTCACCCATCGTCTCTTAAACCGCCTCTGGCATATTACAGCAGGAATCCTACACCATTATTTAAGAACTTTAGAAAGGATTCCCTTCCTGTAATCCCCAGATTCACAACAGTTTGAAAGCTATGGAGATATTAACCATTGGAAGACGGTTTCCAGTTTCAGCCACATCGAGTTTGAAATGGTTACAGGGCTGTAGTTCAGCAACACGTACCCTATTTATTCATTTTGTTTTGCTTGCGTTTTCCCTGAAGCCAGCAAGTGTACAGACACCAGACCGAGTCACACCACCTGTCGTGGGCTACGCCAAAGTTGTAATACTCATTTCCTTCCCTCAAAACCGAGGGGGCTCCAGGACTGATTTGAATCCCCCCAACTTGGATTTCTGTTACTGTCGTTAAGAAGATCCTGGACTGAGATAACAAGCACTTCTGTGACGCCTAAGGAAGACTCCACATGGCGGTGAGATCCCTAACACCTGCCGGCTCTTCTTTTGGGGAACATTGTCAGTCAGAAAGGGACCCTATTTGTCACCATGTGCGCTTCATAGACCAGGGAAGGCCTTTTACTTCGGAGCACACCAAGCCCTAGGTCACAGCACTTCATTCAATTACAGGTCACAATCTGAATGAAGAATACAGATTTTCGACTCTGTAAAACACATATTACTCCCCAAAAAGTGTTTTGAGAACACTCCAGACCTTTCTGTTTTAATCAAAGTAAGTAATAGAATTACCAGCCCTCGGACATTATTACAGCCAGAGATCACAATCTGAATGAAGAATACAGATTTTCGACTCTGTAAAACACATATTACTCCCCAAAAAGTGTTTTGAGAACACTCCAGACCTTTCTGTTTTAATCAAAGTAAGTAATAGAATTACCAGCCCTCGGACATTATTACAGCCAGAGGAAAAAAAAGTGTTATTTTCCATAACATGCAGAGAGAGAGAGAGAGAGAGAGAGACTGTGTGTGTCTGTCGTCTGTCTGTCCAACATGTGGGAACAGATGGCTGAGGCAAAAATTTGAATCGAAGCAATTTATTTGGGATGTGGTCTTAAGAGACATCAGTGAGAGAAAGGGGAAGTAAGACAAGAGAAGCTAATGAAGGGTGTTTTTTGTCCAGCTAGTTATCACTGTGACTGGAGCTCAATTCCGCGAGGATCCCTGGGAGCAGCCTCAGAGTTCGGAGTCCCAAACGCACAGGGAGGTGGAGCTGCTGGTCGTCGGCTCCCATCAGGTGTTGCCTGAGTCCCACGTGGGAGGCATTATTCCCCTGGCACCGCAGGCGTGCCGTGTGCCCTGCTAGAGCGGGCGCTGGTGGCCAGAGAAGGCGCCGCACCAAGGAGCACAGGTGCCGGGCGCTGGGAGGCTGTAAGACACACCCGAGCATGTGCATGAGGGTTGTGCAGGCTAAGGAGACATGGGCAGTCTCTCTAGATCTATAGCCTCATCTGTAATTGTATCTGCATCTTTACATTTATATCTATAAATACATGTGTGTATACATATATTTATCTGCATGTTGATTGTGACTTTGCAAAACCGAAATCCTAATAATATTCAAAATGTCCAAATTTTACAAAATACTTTCATATACAATGCTCCATATCAACAAAGTGACCCTCTGGGGAAAGTGGAGTGCCTATGGCCAGGACCCTGCCCTGACCCTAAACTACTTGGTGATGTAATTGGCCGGCTCCTAGGCTAATGCTCCCACACCCGTAGGCAATGAGCTGTGACTGAGTCACTATATAAAGAGCTCTGCCCAGTGCTCTGGGCAGAGGCAGAAATGGAGGTGGAGGACAGGCCTGCAGACCGCTGAACACACAGACACGATTCTAGTGCTCGACCTCCCACTGGGACAATAAAGCTGGGTATAAACCCTTTTACCCCAGAACGTTCTGTTCTCATCTCTCAGTCTCACTGAATCCATAGTGAATTTGCCTGGGGCTGAAACCTTCAGGTAAGACAGACCCCCCCGAAACCTAATCATTTGTAAATTGATTCATGTGTAAATTGAACCAAAAAAAAAATCACTGTATGAAACACCCCTAGACCAAAAGGAAAACTCAGAACCATCATTTATACAGAAAGTAATGCAAATGTTCATCCTACATCCCAAAGCCTATGTCAGCCCTAGGGCCACCTGACCGTCTGTTATTACAGTGACGGGATGTAAATGAACTTACATGCTCAGCGTAAGAAACTAGAAAAATAAAAAAGCAAATAAAAGACTTCCAGTTTCAGTCCCACAGATAAGGGAGAAAAATCATTAACTCCTCTTCTCAGAACCATAAGAGAGGAGGGGGTACACAGCAAACCCCTGCCCCCAGGACTGGAGAGACAGGTGAACACAGGCCATTCCCCACCCCCAGGACTGGAGGGACACACAGGGGGACATGGGCCGCCCCCAGGACTGGACTGACAGACAGCTGGACAGATTCACAACTAACCAGAGCAAAAACTCAGAGCTAAAAATTCCAGGGGGGCTCACACTTTTGTCAGTTTTACCTCCAGGAGCTCATGTAGGTTCTCACAGTAAATACTGGAAGAAAATGCCTTCGTGATTCTGGCAGGAGGAGAAAAGGAAGTCAGCCTCAGAGTCCCCTGGATGAACTGACATCATCTCCAGGCGCCTTCATCCAAGCACAGCCCACGCACAACACTCCCCCAAATAGACCACATTCCGAGCCACAGAACACGCCTTTACAAATTTCAAAGAATAGAAGTCATGCAATGTCTGCTGTCAGGCCACAGTGGAATTTAGCTAGAAATCAGTAACAGAAATATACCTAGAATACCCCCAAACACATGGAGACATGATTTAAAATAACACATAAACCATAAGAAATCTCAAGAGAAATTTAAAATTATTTTGAGCTAAATGACAATGAAAACACTTTATCAAAATTTGTGGCATACAGAGAAAGCAATGCAAAGAGGAAAATTATAGCATTGAGTGTATGTAGTAAAAGAAAGATCTAAAATCAATGACTTAGAAGTTTCCAGCTTGGAAAAACAGACTGAGAACAAATTAAAGCCAAAGTAAGTAGAATAAAAGAAAAGTAAGAATTTTAGCACACAAATCAATGTAATTGAAAACAGGAAACCAATAGAGAAAAATCCATGAAACCAAACCTGATTCTTTGAAAATATCAATAAAAGTGGCAGACCTCTAGCCAGGCTAAGAGAAAAAGAGGATACGAATGAAAGAGGAGAAATCACCACAGATCCCGTGGGCTCTGAAAGGATAGTAAAAGATTACTAAGCATGCCCACAAATTTGATAATATTTAAATGAAATACAATTTCTTGAAAGACACAATCTGCCAGAACTCACATGAGAAAAAAGAGGTACTCTGAATAGGCCTATAGCTATTATAGAAATTGAATCAATAATGAATAACCTCCCAAAAGAAAAAGCAGAGGGTCCAAATGCATTCAGTGGTGATTCCACCCAACATTTAAAGAAAAAATTACACCATTTCTCTCCAATCTCTTGCAGAGAACAAAAGCAGAAGGAATAATTTGTCACTCTTTCTATGAGACAGCCTCACCCTCATATCAGAATCAAGGACATTATCAGAAATCCACAGACCAATACCTCTCATGAACATTGATTCGAAAATCCTCATCAAAATAATAGCAAATCCAATCCAACAGTGTATAATAATAATCATACGCCAGGACCAAGTGGGACTTCTCCCAGGCATGCAAAACTATTTCAAAATTCAGTGAGTGTAATTCATCACATGAACAGGCCAAAAAAAAAAACAAAAACCACATGACTATATCCGTACACACAGAAAGGGCATTCAGTGAAATCCAACACTGACCCACGGTAAAATTCTCAGTAAGGAGGACTACAGGGAAACGTCATTTTGATAAGAAGTATTTACCAAAAAGCAAAAGAATAAAGATAAAAGTAGAAATTACTGAAATAGTATAAATACTGGCAGTCATAAATATATCCAAACATATTTCTTTCATATTAACTATATATATAAAATCATTTGTAGGTTGATTGATTTATGCCAGTCATTGTAAATTGATAAGAACATACATACATACACACACATATATATATATATATACTTCCAGAAAGATTACAGAAAATCAGAGGAGGCTAAAAGTGAATGAGATTGTGAATAAAGACAGCAATAGCATTACAGATAATAGGTTAAACTATAAAAGTATATTTTAGGCAATTCTACTGCAATATATAGGAGATTTCTGAAGAAAACGGTTAATTTTCCTGCAAAAATAGCCAGACTTGCAAGAGGCAGAAAACTGAATCCAGAAATAATGAAGGAGGGCGTTGAAAAGGTGATTTAGAGATGCTAGCTTAAAAAATAATGTCCATGAGGCTCACATGGCCTCCCAGCTGAGGTCTTTTGGGGCTTGGAGCTACAGATCATTGCTGTGAAATGTAAACTTTTCTAGGCTACCAAAAAAGCTGGGAAACAGCCCAGTTTCATGGTGTTAGTGTAATTTGAATGCTGAAGCTTGCCAAGGCACAAAATAATTGAAAACACCATAGAATAACTGCATATGATTGTCGTGCATGACTCAATACAAAAATTCTAAATGAAGCATTTTCGTCAATAGAATCTAAGATACTCAAGGTGACTGGTGTTCTTAATCCAAGATGCAAGGGTGGTTGGAGATCTTTTGTCCTACTGACCAGCTAAAGGAGAAGACCCTCTCTTTCTGTTCCTCATAGCTGATGATGGGAAGGCATTTGATAAATTAGCTGCTCCTAAGGAAAGTCTGTAAGATAAAACAGGAAGATAATGACCAAATCATAAAAAGGACCGCTTACCACCAATCATCACAAGAAACAAAGAAGCAAGTGCTGTTTCTGTTGAACCAGGGAAAAATGAGCAATTAGCGCTGTGCTGCGATCTGGCTGTAGAGGTTTTCACTACTGCACAAAGGCCAGAGAAATGTATTAAGCATTATACATACAGCTTTTTAAAGTTACTAAAGTGTTTCGTATGCAGATGCTAACACTATGTATCTACAAAAACCAGAAAAAAAAACACAATTAAGAATTTGTAAGATGAATTAGGTAAATAAATGTCATATATAACAAAAATGTTTTCCCTATTCTAGCCAAACCCAGTAAGAAATTAGAATAAATGCATTTTATTCATTACAGCAGCCAAAACTATAGACTGACTTAGAAAAATATATTGTTATATATAGTATGGACACACATATAATTTTCTTAAGTCTATAATCTGCATTTCACACATATAGTATGTATTTTTAACTATTAGTATTTTCTAATATATTTATATATTATATGTATTTTATAGTATAGTTACAAACCTATATATAAATTCAGGAGCTTTGTGTTAATATTGAAAGAAAAAGCCATTTCCTTAGTAATTAGTCATGATTGAGAGAACGAAAATGGTGCTTCAGAATCACATATGAATTTGGTACAATTCCAAGCAGCATCTTTTTTTCTTTTTTTTTTTAAACTGTCAAAAAATATGATTATGCTTTTTTAGCTCTTGATGCAATCTAAGCATTAATGCAGTTTGAGGACTGGAAATAACTACTTTTACCATTAGCTTTAGGTAATGACTTATGTGCAAGCTGGGTGTGGACAACTGTGTTCTGATGGATTTGATATTGTGGGTTTCATAATTTGGACATTTTGCTGTTAGAAAGCCAGAAAAGAAGCCCTGAAACCATGAAAACAAGAGTGCCGCTATGGACAGCATCAGTTTTCACACTAGGAAGATAAGAGCAGGCATAAAGATCCTAAGTTGATCCTTAACATAAGATTGATTCATGATCCAATTTTATTTCTGAAATAATTTATGGTTTTTTTAAGCTCAGGAGACAGATGAGTTCTTAATAAAGTCTTAGGGATTGTAAATTTCGAGTAAAAATATATTCTTAGGGAGTTAGTGATTCCACATTTATTCTCACCAACAAAATGGCACCAAATTTTGGTACTGAGACTTGAACTAAGACCATTTTGTGGGGTAAAGAAAGAAAAATTAATGTTTATGTAGTTCTCGCCTACGCCAGGTACTGTTTCATATCTTTTATATGTATTATCTTTAAAATCATTTCATGAGGTAGGTAGTGTTACTCCAACTTTACAAACGGGAAGACTGCTGTTCAAAGTGGTAAAGAAGCATGGCTAGAACCTCAGAGCCAGCAAATGTCAAGGTCATTTCAATTTGAAGTCGCAAGCAGCATCTTTTTTTAGAAAAACAAAAAAGAAAAAAAACACAACAG